TACGAAACATACTATGTAAAGTTAAGTCAAAGTTTTAAAAGTTTTTTCTTCAACTTAATACAAAATTCTATGCAGTGACTCTGATGGTGAAAGAGGTGTTTTCTTTAGGATTGCGTTGTCTGTTGCGTTCTCTACAAACTTAGATTAGTCTAGTAGCTATGAGGATACATATTTTGTGACTAACTCCTATTCACTTCACGATCCTAGTATGGATTTTCTCCGTAATGACAAGACAACATCACCGCATACATACGTGACCGCGGTAGCGTACGGTACTACCTCCAAAAAGGATGTATACGCCAGCTGATTGCTATTACTCTGTTGTGTAAACAGTTCGAACACGAATGCAGTTTATCAGTTCCAATGAGAGTAAACTTAAAAATTCAAGGCTGACAACAATTGAATGTTTGAAATTCCTCACACCCGTAAACAATTTTGGATCTTCAGTAAACGTTGTAAGGCTTAATTCTGTCTTACGACTATCAATGTCGGCGTGTCGGCCAAGCCGACGGTTTTGCGGTCTCTCATTGGTGATCGTTTACACGTGGAATATTTTATTTTATGCCTTTAATTTCATGAAGTCGTAACAATTGCATGTGAAGTGTCGCTCGAGAATACTTTGGAATTCCCTCACTGTTTACTTTTCCAACTTATTATTGTGTTTGCATACGTGGAACGTAATTTCATTAGTTCCATCTGCCGGCGTACCAGCTACTATTGTTTTGGATGTCTTTTTAATGTATGCTTCTGTCTTAGCTTTTTTTTTGCTGTTGATTATTGTCGTTTTATATTGTTGTCATTGTCTCCTCAATTGAAGTATCTCGCCAATGTGGCTGTTTTTACTTACAGTAGACTGATATTATGTGTTGGATTATTAATGCAGTAATAATTATATTATCAGGGTATTTTCATAGTGGTAGACTAAAAGGGAGTCTCTTGTTTGTAGATAATACGCTTTATGTTTTTTTGTAGGCGTTCGTGGTAATGCAGTGACAGTACGAATCTTAAATTAATAATGTATCAATACCAAGACGTTTTTATGTTCACTGCCAGCACGTAGGTGCACTTTCAAGTCTATAACCGGTCGGTAATGTTGTATCATAAAGCTGATGATGGAAGTAATGTTTGGCAACACACCCATTTGTATTATTATTACATTTAGTTTTAAAATTTGATTTGATACCTATTTAAAATTATTTTAGTCAACGTTTTGAACTCTTTTAATTTTAAGTATTTTATTAAGCAAAGATTTTGCCGTGTAGTATACTAGAGATAAAAAATTGCAAATTCTTTTGCCTGTTTTAAAACTAGTATTTATTTACAATTTTTTGTACATTGAAGCCGGCTGTTTTCATAAAGATTAATTCCATGATGCAAATAAAAATATTCCATTGGTCAGATAATTTATGTATGAATTTTAAGCTTGAAACGAGAACATCAGCATAATAATATTTAAAAGTGTCGCCTTCGAAACAATTTCAACGGCATTGACTTTTAAACTTTTAATTCTAACAAACTATACAGATATTATTTTATCACATTTTAATAATTTAGTTAACAATCAATTACTTGCAAATTATTAGGTAAATATAGCAAAATAAATGAAGCATAAATAAAATGTAATTGGATTAAATAACAATTAATCAGCGTACTTGCGAAATCACTAGGAATTTCAAGGCAGAGTCTTTCCACTTTCAAATAATGTATTGTACCAAAAAATATCTAGCATTCAGCGTTGTTACTATGTTTACTCACCCTTCCACGCCCCCAAAGTACATAACATCGGTCATATTTCTTTAATTCTAAAACTATGAGCTTGTTGAAATGATAAGTGAAACTTGTTTGTTGATAATAAATAATTCCGACGGCGAATTGAATAACCAACACACGATATTCCTTTGCGAACGCACTAAGGTAAACTGACTGAATGAACGACGATGTAGAAATTGTGTGGAACGAGTTAGTTCAATGACCGAGTAGGGCCGTGCGTGCAGTGTCAAATGAAGTAACAAATAACATTACTGTTATCCATATCGAATAACGTTACCGTTATTCAACTGTCTTAATAATTTTGGACTAGTAACGTGTTTTCATTATTTTCGTTTTTAAATAATCATTATTAAATTCGTAATTTTATTAAACTCTAGCAAGACTTAAATCTTAATTAAAATTAACTTACCTGTTTTAAGGAGCTTGCACGAGTGCAACTATTTCCTGTTACCATTTTAATTATTGTTTATATGTATAAGTCCAACAGTGTGCCTACCATGAGTTTACGTTAGGTGTGCTCGCTAGCGACTGCGTAAAAAAATGACATTTAAATGTATGACATATTGTGCAGCGCCCCTAGCGGCTACTTTCAAGAAATAAAATCTTCATAGAATTTTTTGACGTATTCGCTAGCGAGCTCACCTAACGTAAACTCATGGTAGGCACACAGCAGTCCAATGGCGTTAAAATGTTGATTATTTTTTTTAACTTCAGAAATAAAGGAAAAAAAAGGTCAAATTAAATAACAGCTTTATGTAACATCTCATATATTTATACATAATATTTATATCGTCCACACATAAACATCGACACCCGACTAACAAATATTAAACATCGATACACTTTAGACTGAGGAACGTCGAGATCTTTTATTTGACTAAATGGGGTACCCGTTAATAAAATTCAAGACATGAGTTGATGATTAAAATCATACAAATACATATTGACCATTTGAAGGAAGTGTTACAATGTTGAATTTGTGGTCCTTGTGTTAGTGATTGTCTTCGTAAAAATTTGTGAACACCAGAGTTACGACCCTCATGTTTTTACAGTTTTTTGTGTGTTATTTAATGACTGTCTACTCTATAGAGGGTGTTACGTAAAAATAATAATTTTATAACATCCGATTTGTATGAAAATTAAAATGAAGATATCAATTTTATGACTTCACCATATCATTTATATGCCCATGTTAACATGGGCTAGTGTCGGCTCATATACCCATTTACCTAACACCCTGTATATTTTAATTTAAAACAATAATGAGGACCTACCATGACTTTCATGTTTTAAACTCTCACGGCTCTTAGTGGTTACTACAAAGTTAATCATCAACTCATGTATTGATATTTTTAAGACATTAATACCAGTTTATAAATACTTTCTTAGATAAAAAGAGGCACTGTCAACCACCGTTTATTCTTTCCTGTGATTTCATTTACTGACAGTAAAAAAGCAATTTCTTACGCACTTTGCAATGTTAAAGATTTATCTATAGTGTGGTAGTTTCTAATATTTGTTTTAGTTTTGCTATAAATGTATAGATAACGACCATCTTTATTTTTTAACTTGTGGTAGGTAAGTATAGCGTTTTTACATCAGTAAGTTGAAAATTTCCACGTCAACTTTACGACTTTAGTAGTTCTGACTTTGGACATAGTAAAGGAGTATTCTAGTATCACACAAAAATGGGTAGACCTTTGACAAGACTCATTATTATGTATGTGGAGCTTAAATTAAACAGTAAATCTTTTTCTTCTTATTTTTAATTGTTTTCCCTCAAATGAGTAAAGCACAGATGAAAGAAAGTTATACAATAACAAAATCTTATACCTACCTATTGTATGCGATTTTTTAATCAATTATCAGTGAGGGATTATAGCAAGTACTTATGTAGATAATTATGACGTCTTGTCACAGGTTTTTGGTTAGGTGTGATGATGAGCAAGATGGTTAAGGAAAATTTAGTTCACCTAGTGGTGGGACTGAAACATCGTTGGCTTGTCTATCGATAGTGTGAAAAGTTGAATTGAAGTTTTACAGTGAGTAGATCTATACAGGGTGTTAGGTAAATGGGTATATGAGCCGACACTAGCCTATGTTAACATGGGCATATAAATGGTATGGTGAAGTCAGAAAATTGATATCTTCATTTTAATTATTTAAATTTTCATATAAATCGGATTTTATAAAATTTATTTTGTATGAAAATTATAAAAATTAAAATGATGATATCAAATTTCTGANGAAGTCAGAAAATTGATATCTTCATTTTAATTATTTAAATTTTCATATAAATCGGATTTTATAAAATTTATTTTGTATGAAAATTATAAAAATTAAAATGATGATATCAAATTTCTGACTTCACTATACCATTTATATGCCCATGTTAACATGGGCTAATGTTGGCTCATATACCCATTTACCAAACACCCTGTATAACTTCTATACCATTCATTATTGATTTTCCAAAATAGGATATTTTTAGTAAAAATTAGTTCAGATTTTCAACAAACATTTAAATTCAATTTAATGAAACAAATTAATTGAAAATTAATATAAGTATTTATTTATCCAATAAATTTAGAGCCTTCAAGGCTTCTCGTAGCATAATATGTATTTTCAAAATCATATAGCAGAAATATCACATCAAAAATAAAACTATTGATAGACAAGTGTGGATTATTCAGTAATCTTAGCCCTAAGTATTACATTATCTTCAAAAGCTTTAGGTTAGGAAGGGCAAGAATTAAACATAGATTTTATAGCCATAGAAGGCCTCTAGCTTAACTACACATAGAATAAATATGGGACTTAGGGTTCTACTGTTACTCATCAAAAAAGGTCAAGTCGTAAGATGACTTAAAAGAGTTTACTTAGAGTTCACTGATTCGGCTTAAAATCTAATTAGAAAATTTTGTAAGCGATTTCATCCAAAGTACATTTTATATTTCTAACTTTTTCAATCATTTTAGTTCCTCCTTATACTAACAACATTTAGCTATCTAAATAATATACAATTTATGTAGGTACATAATTTGATTTTGACAGTCTTTTCAATAAATAATTCATTTTAAAATTTAACACTAAAAGTCTCATAGAATTTATAAGGTAAGCTGAACTTTAGTGTGGGTTTATTATTTTATTCATTACATGAAAAACTATGTTACAAAATAAGGGAAAATACATTCCGATTAATCATTAAATAAAATAATAAAAGTCCTTGATACAAAACAGTATTATGTTCCATGATCAATTTAATGTTATTGAAAAGCCTACGTTGACAAAAAACTATTTGAAACATAAATCTCAAGGAAATAAGTCTGTAAGTCTGTACCTAAGCTGTCGAACGAATGTATTCAAAATTGGTGTTTCTGGTTAATAATTTCATAGTAATATAATAGATGACGATGATAGATTAGTCACGTTATACATCAATCATTAATTTAAAAATTCATATTTATATACCATGACGTGTAGTTATTATATTTTTATATTGCTTTAACACTAATGTCTATGACATCCATAAAAAAAATGTACGTACGTTATTCACTTGAGTAATATAAAATAACGTTGTTCAAAAATGGTTACAAACATCACTAGTGAGGTGTAACGGTAACGCTACCGTTATAACGCTTCGCTTTTGCAAGCGAAGCCGTTTCGCTAGACACATGCGACGGAAGTTTGGAATTGGGAGTTTTGCCGTCGCATGGTTTGACGTCACCTGTGAACAAAAAAGTTACAAGAAATTAATTCATGAATCAACGTTATGTACCAAATAACAATTTGAACCAATAACTTTAAATTTATGAAAATTGAGCGGTTATTGGTGACTTATTGGTTCCTGCAGAGTAGACCAGACCACTCACAGTTTTCCCGTGAACATCAGACCTCTCTATATGGAGAGGGCTATGCTTGGTGTTTCTTTGCGAGATCGAATCAGAAATGAGGAGATACGTTACCGAGACCGTAAACGAACTAAAGTCGCTGACATAGCCCGACGGATTAGGAAGCTGAAGTGGCAATGGGCAGGGGACATAGTACGCAGAACTGACGGCCGATGGGGCAGCAAGGTTCTGGAATGGAGGCCCCGTACCGGAAAACGCAGCGTGTGACGTCCACCTACAAGGTGGACCGACGACATCGTCAAGGTAACGGGGAAGCGCTGGACGCATGCCGCTACCAATCGATCAACATGGAAAGCATTGGGGGAGGCCTATGTTCAGCAGTGGATGTCCTATGGCTGAAAAAATGATGATGATGATGATCAGACCTCTCCATTCACTCTGGTCAGCATGGGGAGTGTATGCCAAATTCTCATTTGCCTCTAGTAAATTATAGAGAGTCGTGCTCCTCCCTCCTTCCTACCAAAAGTTTCCACTGCTGGATAAAGGCCTCCCCCAAGAATGTCCACAACGACCGATCCTGTGCTGCCTGCACTGAAGGTCGCATAAACCACCTAGATTGCTTCGTGCGACCTTCACTACTGCAGGCCTGGCTCACTCCGCGCGGTACATCCGATAATTACCTACAGCGAAGCGCCCCGCCGGCGGGTATTATATCAGTCGAGTGTCACGCGCGCGCCCGTCAGGACGCTGGCGTGCGTTGTAGTACGTACCTAATTATATGATCGAAGTATTATTTAAAAATGGACATAAAGAGAAAGAAATATTGTGCGGCGTTCGAGTGTCTAAATTCGAAAAGAAATCTACCGGATTTATCTTTTTTTTCGCTTCCCAGAGATGCTGAAAGGTATATTATCCATGTAGGTAATCAATGATTCTTAGGATAGTATAGGAACCTTAGATTAATAAAGCCAATAATTAATCTAAGATAGGAACCTAACCTACCATGACTACTGCTCAGAATGCGTTCGTTCGTTTCAGCCAAATGACGTCCACTGCTGGACAAAGGCCTCTCCCAAGGTTTTCCATAATGAATGCGTATGAGTCATGAATGCTACATACGTACCTCATTACTTAAAAGAAGATTAATTATTTTTTCACTAGACAGCAACCCTAACAGCGTAAGAAGAGTTCAGAGGCACGCGATAGAAAGAGACAAAACTTGTAGGTGAATAAAATTGTAGGTACGTAGTGCTGTGCGAGCTGAATTCCACTTTATCGCGTCGTAGCAAGACTCGCATTTATTTAAATCGTCTTGCGGAGTAATCCTTCTGTACCTGTACTATTACTTATTCTGTGACTACTGGCAGGACAGTGAAGATTAAAAGATCTGATGATGTGACCCACCTGTCACTAGCACTGGTAGTGTGAGAGTGCGTGGTGTCGTGTTCATCCAGCGAGTGAGAGTGCGTCGGCTTGACGGCCCTCCGCGAGCCCTCGCCGTCACTCTCCCGCCGGCCGCCACCGCCACCGCAGAAGCACTTGCAGATGATGCGCTTGAATGCGAACCTGGAATCAATAGGAATGTTATGTTAGGTATTGCTTTAGTTTTTCGCAACTTTTTATCATACCATCTGCCTTTCATTTAGAAGGTAGCAATAGCTAAAGAGTTTCCCATTGAAAACCAATGTCAGCACACCATATTATGGCGATCTTATTACAAATAAGCTGTCTTGTGTGGTTAGGTACAATATTTGCAACTTTTATTCGTTTCAATCAAAGGACGTTCACCACGCACGATAGCCGAACGGTGAAGGGGTCGGAGTGGCGGACTCGAGATCTGAGGAACGCGGGTTCGAATCCCACCGCCGCTCGACTATTGTGGTGAGCCCACTCGTAACACAAGTTTATTTAGCTTAACACGAGGGGCTAATGGGACTATTAGTAATTTGGGAAATACAAATTGCTAATAATCTTTAAAAAAAACCACTGGACAAAGATCTCCCTCAAGGATTTCCACAACAACTGCTCCTGCATTGCTCACGTTCAGGTGCTTTTGGCAGCCTTGATCAAATTGTCACGCCACCGAATTTCTAGGATTTTCAACGTTTAGTTATAGGAAAAAGCTTCTGAACAGAAGTTTACTCACCTAAAGTCCTTCGAGAACAAAGCGTAGATGAGAGGGTTGATGGCCGAGTTGCAGTAGCCCAACCAGAACAGCACAGAGAACACGATAGGCGTGACGCACTTCTCGCAGAAGGCGCGGACGACGTACACGCTGAAGAACGGCAGCCAGCAGAACACGAAGCCGCCCACGATGATGCCGAGTGTCTTGGCTGCTTTGGTTTCCATACGGAAGCGTTTGACCTGAAAATTGATAAAGAATCGTGAGCTATGGGTCCAGTTATTTATTTGGATAGGTACTTAAGTTAGAAGGATACTTAAATAGGGTGACAATTATAATAGAGCTTCTGACATTCTTTTGTTACATTGTAAGCAAGAGTAGTTAGAATAAATGTAGCTATGATAGCCAAACGGTGAAAGATGTGGGACTGGCCGACTCGAGATCCGAAGAACGCTGGTTCGAACCCCATCACCGCTTGACTATTGTGGTGGTGGACAGTGCCCATAAAAGTATATTTAGCTTAGATCTATTAATATGGCTACGAAATGAAATAGTATTGCCAACCTGAGCTTTGATATTCCTTTTCCCCATCCTTCTCGTAGTCCTAGGCTTATCATCATACTCATCGTACAAAGGCCCTGGAGCCAAATGCTGAGGAGGCGGTCTGACCCTCAGTCTGCTCTCAGTGAGCTCTCGACCGTCCCTCTCGTAGTGAACAGCGTATAAACTCGGGCTCGGAGACCGGCTGGGGGACCGCGAGTTCTCCAATCGGGAGTTCTCTAGAGCTGGACAAATCTGCTCAGATGAGGGGTAGGACACTGATATCTTGACTTTTTCGTGGGCTCGCCTTGCACTGGAATGCCTGGAAATAGAGAAATTGATCGTGTTAATTATTTTGAAGGAAAATAATACGAGAAAATGGTGTTGGATTTTTTAAATTTCTGTAGGGAAGAGAAAACACTTGTGTATTGTATGTTAGGGAACATTGGTATTTCCTATGTTCTGATAGGTTCAGCCACACCCGTGTCTATTTAGAAAAGAAAACCGTTTACTAAATTTATTTAACCCGAAATCCTCTATGACCCATTACGAAAAAAAGATTAAAAGATTTGGCGTTTAGTGAACTGTAATTAGGTATTTAGGTACTACACCAGTCTGCTAACAGGGAGAGATGGCGGGAGATCGTGTGGAAAGTTGTATCCGCCTCTACAATCTATGTCGACGCATTAACGTGACCACAACTGCCCTGCCAAGAGTATAACGCAAGAAGAACTAGGTATTTACCTTCTAAGCCTTTCAGGGGAGGCACTCAGCGAAGTACTTGTAGAGTGATTGGAAGCAGTTGACAGCGGTGAGCCGTGAGGTCGTGCTGATCCTCGGCCCCTGTGTATCCTGAGGGTCAGCCGGTTGTCATCAAAGCGGCTGCCCATGCCTTTACCTGAAATAGTTTGGTTTGATCAGTTACCAAAACCAAAAATAAGAGGTTTTGTTGTATTTGAGTAAGAAGAAGATTTGGCTGACTGAGAGTAAAATAAATGTGCAAAGTTATTTCTTGTTCTGCGGAAAACGGAACGGCGAAGTTTGAAAAAGTTTTAAGAAGTGTTCAATCAGTAGCCTTCGGAGTTGGAAGTAGGTACATAATAAACTATATTGGAGCATTTAGTACCACTTCCTTTAAACGTCTGACAGACTGATGAAAAGTAAGAATTTTCAAGATCTAGCAACTGCATAAGTGTAAGTTAAAGAAGAAAAGAATCACGATACTTACCAATGGACGTACCTTTCGTCGTCCGGAACCCCTGGTTGATGGCCTTGGTGGTCCTCACTGCAGCTTTGTATATCCTCCAGTAGAAGAACAGCATGACGAACATGGGGATGTAGAAGGATCCAAGAGCGGAGTACACCACGTAACCGGCGTCGTTGGTCAGTTCACATGTCCAGGGGCAAGGGGGGTTGGGGGCCCAGCCGTCTTTCTCGGCTTCTTCGGGCTGTGGGTAAAAAATGAATCTTTTGTTTATGACGAGATTCCAAAATTAAGAGAAACTGAGGGCTGATGTTATTACTGTCGTAATAATTTGAATTTCTCATGACGTAAACAAGCGGATCAAAATATTGAAAAGACTAGTCGTCAAAATTGAAAGGATTAAACGTTTCTTACTTCACTATCTTGAAAATTAGAAGAGACTAATCTGCAATTAATTACATTATGATCTTAATATTATTATGTAGCTTTCACAGAGTATTAGATATAGTCTAACTATGATTGATATCTCCAGAGGGAGGTATCTGTTAATGGTTGTGAGGAAATAGTCAAGGATCAGTGGATGTATACGGGGAGTTCTATTTACTGATGTAAATGAGATAGAAAGTATCATATTTTTATGAAGGAATTACCTTTTTATCCTTCCATCCGACCAGCGGAGGGAAACAAATCACAAACGACAGCACCCACAGCCCAGCTATGAGCGCCTTAGCCCGCTTTCTGCTCATGATGCTAGGGTAGCTGACCGGCCTGGTCACGGCCACGTATCGGTCCAAGGATATGGCGCACAGGTTCAGAATAGATGCTGTGCACATCCACACGTCCACCGCTAGCCATACTGAGCACCACACGTCGCCGAATATCCATATCTGGAACAATTTACGGTTGAAGACTTTTCAAATCGAGTGCAAATAAATATTATTCTACTCTAATGCACATGGGGGGGATGCAGTAAGCCTTCCCGTAAGTAGAGCGACTCCTTTGCTCGGGCCCTCCCCGTGAGTAGCGGCAGAAGCCGTGAAACTAATTACTGCACCACGATGACAAACCGAAGTCCAACCAGTCCGCTCACAAAACCGTCTATGTGATTTAGGTTTGTTGTCGACACTATAAGAAGAAGATTCTACTCTAAGAAAGCACCTGGTCCTTTCCTAAAATACTATAGGTGTATTTTACTTACTAGTCCATCAATCCCTAAGCGGTCGCATTGTGACCGCGTAACAATTGATTACGACCACGGGCTGGAAGACGTAGCGTGACCAGGCCTCCTACTAGATGGACCGACGATTTGGTAAAGGTCGCGGGAAGAACCTGGATGCGGGCAGCGCCAGCTTTGTCCAGCATGTAGTCGTCATTTGGCTAAAACGACGAACAATTGATTGAATCTACTGTGTCTCAATTTTCGGGGCTTGAAGTGCTAGTTCTGGCCGCATGAATTTATTCTGGACAAAAACAATAACTATCAAATATACACCCGTGAAACAAAAAACTATAAGTAACTTTCTTTTGTAAATATGCAAGTTTTATAAGCAGCCTCACGCATCTCATTAATAATTTGGTTTTCCACTAGGGAAATCACTGTACAACTTCTGGGTTGGTGTGATTGAAACAAACAAGGAAAGAAATGATTGACAACCAAACATGCATCCTCGACAGCGAATGGCAAATGTGAAATGCTGTCCAGTGTACCTACCATGGGTTTACGTTAGGTATGCTCGCTAGCGAGTACGTCAAAAATCTCTATTAAGATTTTGTTTCTTGAAAGTAGCCGCTAGGGGCGCTGCACAATATGTCATACAATTAATGTCATTTTTTTACGCAGTCGCTAGCGAGCACATCTAACGTAAACTCATGGTAAGCACACTGATTCCCACTCGCGTGTAATGTCTCGTAAGTATACTCGTATGTTATGGACAGTCAATATCGACCGCATGTAAAGGTACAACATTGTCGGGTAATTTTATGTTATTATCCCACATTGAACAGTGGAAATGCGATTGCCTGGAAACACCAGAACGAACAACAAAGTTACAAACGTGTATAACTATCTATCGCCTGTATTAACAAACATTACTATGAGGTCTCACAGTGCGCGTGGAAGCACAGTGTGACATACAAACCAATCACAGAGCTCTATTCAACGCTGTGCGTTCGATTTTCTGCTTCGCTTAAGCAAGCATCGTTTGTGAATACGGGCGGATGTAACTAAGTCTTTATACTTTGCTCCGAAGCGATTTCGAAATTGAAATTGTCAGTGTTACGAATGGTAATTTGAATTTCTGTTCAGCATTAAGAGTCGCATATCAAATTAAAATAAAATAACTTGAAAAAATCGAACTGCCTAAGATGGGAATCGAACTGTCTAAGGTGGGAATCGAACTGCCTAAAGTGGGTATCGAACTACCTAAGGTGGTAATCGAACTGTCTAAGGTGGGAATAGAACCCACGACCTTTCGCATGCCGGGTGACAGCTCTTCTATCTGAACTACTTTGACACTGGATGAGCCCGTCGTCAAGTGTAATACGCTGTTACGGCCAGCGTTTGTTTCATCAAAGTTGGATACTACCCATAACGGTTCGTCCAGTGTCTAAGTAGCTCAGATGGAAGAGCAGTCGCCCGGCAAGCGAAAGGTCATGGGTTCGATTCCCGCCTTTGGCCCTCATTTATTATCACTAGGATTGTTATAACTTCAGGTGTTATTTACTTGACAGAAAGATAGAGCACCTAACCGAAATACCTATTTACACCAAACGTCATTTCCTGTAGCAAACTTAACAATAACTTTCACGTGTTGTCGTTGCCTTCCTTAACTTCGCTTAATGAAACCCGATTAACTCCCTTAATCGACCGTTAACGTCCGAACTTAAATCCGACGTGACAGCGTCGCACGTATTATGATGATTTATCAACTAATTTTAATTGGCTAAAGCGTTAACTTGGAATCGGAGCGTTATTCGGACGATAAGTTAAAATTTATTGCTTCAATTACGATGCGCAGATAACCAAGGAACTAAGGTTGCCGTTCTAGCGGAAATTTTCTCCAGTTTTGTCGGGGTCATCTTCTAAAGATTTTAAACTTTCGCGTTCCATTTCGGCTAAAATAGAATGACACGGGTCTTAACGCGACGTTTATTAATGAGTTACTTTATGTACTCACGGCTTGACGTTTCGGCTGCTATGCCGCAGCCGTGGTCACAAGCAGAACGGTGGCTCGTGGCGTTATTATAAATGACATCTATTTTAATCTTCTAAGGAGTTTGCTGTAACGAATAACAACTAAAACTTGAATGATGATGAGATTTTACAAGCTGCAATAGGCAATAGCTCTATTGGATTGACAGTCTTTCAATTGAATTAATCCGATGTTTGATTTAGCGAGCTTGCCCAAAAGTTGCCTAACTCTTAAGATTTATACTTATCACAAAAGATATTGGTAACTATGTCGAATATGACAATGGTGGTATTGGGAAGTACGTCTTGTGGTTCAATATCCGAGGTACGGAAATTAAACGAAGCTTTTTTAATAAAATACTTGTGTATATTACGGTGACATCCCTAACTTTAACCAATGTACGCTAACCGTTCGATCTGCGTTTATGGTAGGCGCAACAGGACCCTTACCTTTGGTCATGGATTGTTATTAAAATAATAATATTAATTATTTATTTATTAATAAGGTTTTAGGGGAGACCTATGTTCAGCAGTAGACATCCTGTGGCTGAAATGATGATGATGAAGGTTTTTTTAAGATAACCACCTGATAAGAGAAGTTCCTCATCATCATCATTTTAGCCACAGGACGTCCACTGCTGAACATAGGCCTTCACCAATGACTTCCACATAGCAGGGTTGGTAGCGGCCCACATCTAGCGTAAAAGAAGTTACTAAGCATAAAATACTTGTAAGTTACTTGTTGCAAGTGATTTGGGAATACTTACGCCCGTATTCACAACCATTACTATGAAGTCTCACAGTGCGCGTGGACGCACAGGGTGACA